GGGGGGGGGGGGAACAGCGTCAGCTGCGGAAAATATCACGCTCAATCTCGTCTAAAGCGGCCACCCGGTAATTGTCTACCGGGAAGCTCCGAATAATCCGAGATGTCGACGCGCGCTCGCGCGAGGAATGCGGGAACATTCGCGAAACTCGAGAGACAATCCCGAGAGCCCCGCGTCCTCGAGAATTTCCCGGGCGATTTTCGCGCGGAATGACGCGCGAACGGGCGTCATGAATTTGTGCTTAATTCGCGGGGAGGTGCTCACTCGGAACCACACTTTATCTTCGACGAATTAAATTTATCAAGACGTTCCGAATCGAAATTCTAAACCCACTTTCGAACCTAAACTTCCTAATACCTGTATATTCTGAAGAACCAATATGTGCTTAATACATACGGCAACTAAAATTTCTACTTAGTGCCTCTAAATGATTGAAAGCGCACAAAAATGTCACTAGTAAGTTCTTTCACTAGAGGATCTTTTGACGAAATTCGTAGGTTAAGTAGAAAGAGGTTGATGAAGCTTCAGAGTATCAAAATGGGTATCAACCGTTTGCCTACTAATTTTGTTTTTTAAACGTACGACTTTTCTATTATTTTCATTTCGTTAAATATAACGTAGTTTTGGAAAAAAAATAAAAGTTTTATATTTGGCGCCAATGGGATAGGATCGGGACACTGATGTCTCACCGGAGAGGGCATATTTGTCCCAATGGTAATAACCAAAGTGACAGCTGATGTATTCTGAACACCAGAAAAGCTGTTTACTCAATTGAATAAGGTTATGATTAATGGTGGGGAACATATATGTCCCGTTGGTAGCGAAGAGGGGAATGCCATACTCGAAAATTCCTTACCGACAAAATACTGACTTCTTTTACATAATTTATGTCATTTTACGGAATTGCTTTTACACATTGAAAGTACTACGTATAATAATGAATTGCTCGATACGTGACAAATATAACAAAAAAATTTTAAATTGACATTTCAAATTTTTTAAAAATGAAATTTAACTGTATTTGACAATACAGTTCGTTCAATCAGATAGAACAAATATTAGCTGACATTCATATAATTACACTATATTTGACAGTTTGAATTGGAATCCTAATAATACGCTTGGACAATAATACCGAATCTGTCTGGAAAAGCTAACCATCAAACTCGCAACGGAGTATGTCGAGAGTCAAATTTCTCGCAAAACTTAGCGGCATGCATGATTCCTCGCAAGAAAAACAGTTTCAAATCACGCTCTATAAGCAATGGGCCTTACATACAATCTCTAGTTATCTTAAACAAAAATTTTTGCTAAAAATATATAACACAAACATTATTTTTCGGGTCCTTTCGAGATCCCGCGTGGCAGCCTAAGGGTTAAATGGAATAAGAGAGTAAAAATTTTACGTAAGCTTTCGGTGAAGTGGATATTATGACCAAAATGTCGGGATGACGCTTATTATTTCTTAGATGGGAGTGGACGGAGGTGGACGATACTTCGGTGCCGCTCTCCCGACGCGAAGCCATTGTAATGATCTGCGACCCCGGAGACGCTCGTCTGTGTGGCATAGGAACACACAGTCCGATTGCGGCACGTGTGAAACCGTCCTGCCCGCGATTTGGCGTTTTATCGTGCGCGAAGAGGTGACCCGTGCGCGCGCCAGTCGCAATTACTGTTGACTCGCGCCAAATATCCGCGGCATTCGCGTAATCCGCTTAATAGACTTTTCCAATGACCCGTGGTATCCGCGGCCGAGGCTCTGATATGACGGTTACGTGCCGATTACGCGTTTGCCGCTCCTTAATTAAAGGACCTCGGTAAATAAAGGATTGTAATTGCGACGAATGCTGTCGCGCTCCACACGCCATTAACAAAGTTGCGGCCAAACAACGTTATCTCGCCAACTATCTCATCTTGGTAAAGCCGTAAAACATTTCGCGGTCGATGACAGAGCTCGTGCGACGAATAAGTGACTCGGCGAAACAACCTGCGACACTCGTTCCATCTGGCTATCAATTTCCAATCGTCCTTCTATGACAGCTATATTTTTTATATTATACCCATCAACGCAAATTTCGCTTACCTGCTCGGACCTGCACGTCGCGGCTGAGCACCCTGCCGACGGAGTTGCTGGCGACGCACCTGTACGCGGCGCTATGCACGTCCTGCCGATAGGCCGCGGCCGGAAACGGCAAGAGCACCAGGGTGCCGTTTCTGAGGACCCTCCGCACACCCGACACATCGCTCACCGGATGCCCGTCCGCGGTGGACCAGTCGATATTGGGTGGCGGACTTCCGGAGGCCGTGCAGTCCAACCAGGCGCCGCTGGAATTCGAGAACTCGATCCTCGACGGCGGCTCCAGCACGAAGCTGGGCCCGCGTAAGTGCGCGTCGAAGCCGTGCCCGCCCGCGGACGTTACTACAGCAGCTGCACCTGCACAGGCAAACGCGTCTTCTCGTAAAGTGCTTCATAACTATACGAGGTTCAGTCATGACACGTAGAGAAAAAGAAATCAAGAGTACTTATGTGTATGTTGAATACCCACAGATCGCCAACTTTGTAAAAACAGGCGAGGCCAGTAGGATTTCCGGTTTCAGCCCGTGACAACAAAATGGCGGCGGTATATGTATATGTAATGCGCATGTGATACCCGGCGTGGTGATATCTAAGATTTATAACTGAAGTTTTAATTGTCTTTCTGTCGAGTAAAGGAAAGTGTCGAGTAGGAAAATTTTCTGGAAAGATGTTGCATTCCGAAATGCAAGAATAGTATAAAAGATGGATTTCATTTATTCAGATAAGTTAAACGCATTTATTTGTAATAAATATTCGAGTTTTTTAATATTTGTACGTTATGTTTTAATTAAAAATTGTAAATATTAGAAAATGAAAATTTATTATTAATTCCATATAAATATGGCTTACTTTATAATGTAACACAATATGATTTAATAAGTTACACATTTTATCATACTCATTATATTTTGACTATTCTATCATATTACACATATCGTTATATACACTGTTGCGAGAAGACTTAATGACAAAAATTTATTCTTTGAAATTTATTCTATCTTGTTGCGCTGGTGTGCAAATTATACAAAGCGATTTACACGCGTGTACTCTTTAGAAGAGGCTCGAAAGACTTTCTAACCCGCGATATCCAGAAGTCAACGGTGCACCGTTGATAGAGCTGGCGTCTGAAGTCTCTCTCAAGGCGTTAACCAACGGACCTGATGTTAACCATAACGGCAATTTAATATAAAATAATAGGTATGCGCGTGTGGAGGTGCACGAGCCCGTGACACGACACACGTCGGGCAAGGAGGCTTCTCGCACGGCAGCATCACCACCAGCCACGGCATCAGCCAGGCTTGTTAGAACCGGCGCACGGAAGCGACGATATCGCGCACGTTGACGTCCAGTCGTATCAGCCGGAAAACAGTTTGACAAGTTCCAAAGTGGATTAATCAACGGGCTTAGCGTGCCGATCGAACGCTGGCGACGACGTTGCCAGCGATGCAACTAATACGTCGGCCAAGTTATTGTCCTCCGTGTATAAACGAGCGAGCTTGCGAGCAAGTGAGCGCTCGTGAGCGCCCGCCAGCGCGGAGTGTAAGCAGGAGGAGACACCACACTTGGGCGTAATGCTTTGATCGAAGGCGTGAAAGCACGAGTCAGCAACTACTTGGCTCTTGTATCGTTAGCCGCCGCCCGTCGGTTAATAACTCCAGCCGGCTGCGTCCCGCGCTCGTGTCAATGTTATGGCGAAATTTGCGAGCCGCGCAAGTCGCGATAAATTTCGTCCGTCTACCGATTAGTCTGCCTATATCCCGTGCCTGGGACGCTTAAACTTCCGCCGGCGTCGACTTAACTCTCAACTGCTGTTACGCGATTCGAGTTACGTGCGGCTCTGCCACGGCGACGACGACGAGGACAGCGGGGGTGATAAAACGATTTTAATAAGCGCGACGTCATGAATCACGCTTTTGTGAACTCGGACAGTCTCCCTCTCTCTCTCTCTCTCTCTCTCTCTGCCTTTTAAATTGCGCAATTGATATCCACAGTAGCTTTTAAAGTTAGACTGGCTTAAACTACTCGGCGTTGCTCGGGTTATCAAAGTGTTAAGGAGATGAAATCAGAGAAAGAGGATAGAGTGCGCAGGTATCATGATAGCATATATTTTCCGCTGTCTTACAGAGTAATTATGCAAAATTCGGCCCAAATCGGTCGAAAAGTTTACGAGAAAGAAAGAAAGGTAAACTACTAAATGTCATCCGTTTAGTTAACGATTAATCTGTTATCCGAGTTTGTGACTGTGACTCCGTCTTCTTGGGAAATGATGAAAATTTCACGAGTTAACTCTCTCTCTCTCTCTCTCTCTCTCTGTCGCCACCTTTAAACCAACACCTGCGATTTACACGGGGACCGGGAAACGTCAAGACAAACAGTTAATTGCGCTGATTTACGACGCCGGAGAAATTGCAGACGGGCGGGTGAGCGAAATGGCATCGCGCCGATATTGCGTATCTCACGAGCTCACGGCGCGACGGCTCGGTAAAACGCGAAACTCATAACGACATTCACGGGGCACCCGGAGCATAACTCGTTTATAACGACGTTCGAGAGGGAAACGCGCGTCCCGGCCGAATTTCGTAACGTCGTCGCGTGCGCGTGGCATACAAAACACGAAGTATGCAAATCTCTCTCTAGCTTGTGCACACACGAGAGAGAGAGAGAGAGAGAGAGAGAGAAGGGGTGAAGAGGTGAAGAGAGGGGGAGAGAATTGAAATCGTGGTGTCCGGCAATTACGCTCGCCGTCACGCCGGCCTGCTTCCGGAATTGTGTCTCTCGCCGCGCTACTTAATTACTAATTCCGCGCAAGTATTCCGCCCCGGTGCTTCCACAGACGGCAATCCTGAGCGCCGCGTCTACTGGCGTCGGGACGATTTTCGAAGGCGTCACGCCGACGGCTTTAATTGGCGGAGAATTAATTACGCGTTGCGTGCGTGTACCGGTAACCAGATAGCGCGTGCGTTTTCCGAAATTCGAGAAAGAAAGAGAGAGAGAAACGCGCGTTGGGGGTGTACGTTAATTTAGCCGAAGCGTTACATTAAGGGGGATACCGAGATGGATGACGAACTCAAAAAATGTTGACAACGTAAAGGCGACCGCCACTAACGCGTCTTATACTATGCTTGTCGTATTTCTTGTAGATGTAAATCTTACTTGAATGTGAGCTACTTTGTTTTAGCATGCTAGCAGGAAACACAATCATGCATATATGGAAATCTTTCTGCAAACTTTTCGCATACTTTGAAACTTCTACCATAGCTGTAAAGACGCAGAAATGTTCTCTGCAATTTGCGTAGAGAACCATCTACAATGGGATTGGCAGTAAGCAGTAAGACGTAAATAGTAAGCAAAGTAAGAGAGAAAAGTAACCAATCACGGTCGATTACTGTTAATTACTGTCTTACCATTTACTTCCAAATCTATTGTAGATGGAGCTTTAGCAAAGCAAATACACATGCGGTACGTACGCTACAAAACTTTTGTGCCGTTTTAAATTTTTTTATCGTTTTCGTCACATAACAAGCAATTCTCCAATTCATTGCTGCACGTACTTCTTCCAGTGTGCAAAAGCATTTGTGCAATCAATTATGTATTCTGTGCAATCAATAGGACGTAAAGTTTGCAGAGAAACGTTGGTATTGTGTCGTTTGGGTTTTCGTGTGTGACATTCCCTTAATGCAATTCGCTGATTCTTCGCGGGGGAAATTATCGCCAAACGATCCAGAGACTTCTCCCTCTGGATACCGGTCAGTCATGTCGTCGCGTTGCTCACACATCAATTTCATGCGTTGAGATTCTGCAAATCTCACCCGGGCACGGGTCGCACTCGCGTCAACATCCCGTCTTTATGACGCGTCCTCGAGGAGATTTACCTATCGACGTGGAAAATCGAGGAGCCGAAGGAGGCCGCGTCGAGCGAGTGCTGGCAAGATTGAACACGCCGGTCGATGCTCAAGTTGACTGGCCGTCACGACGGTGTGCGTTAAAGCGACAGAGACGAACGGATCGAGCTGTATTGCGAGTAGGAGGCACTCAGGAATACGAGGGCGAGGGATCAGAGAGAGAGAGAGAGAGAGAGAGAGAGAGAGAGAGAGAGAG